AGGCGAGGAACCCCCCCCGCCGCCGCCGCCCTCCGGGGGCCAAATAAAAGCCCAAGTCGAAGGGTGCCCCCCGCCCTCGGTATCAGGGTGGCAGACGGGACTAGAGAGGCCCGCTGGTGCAAAATAGCCCAAGTCGATGATTGTGCCCCGGCCGGCCACGTGAAGTTCAGTCAAACGCTCCCCCCCCCCCTACTACTCAATATCAATCAAGGTTGTGAATAGTGCAAATCTTTCCGTTACTTTCCCGGACTTTTCGCCCGCGAAAATCGGGCACATTTGGCGGGCCAGATGGCCCCCGGGTCGGTTACGATTCACGGAGACGTCACTTGGGTAGACCCAGCCATCATTCTCCTCCCCCCCCCCCCCGCCCCCTCCCCCTCCGACCCATCCTATCTCGATTTCAAGTCGTCCGTCCCCCGCAAAGGGTGTCCGCAAAGGTTATCGCGGAGATCGGATCCGTTGTAACGTTCCGTGCAAAGATTGTCCCCGAATCCGTTGTAACGTTCCGCGCGCCACGTCGGCCCTCCAGAGTCTCCTCGCTGCGGGCTGCTGCGCTGCTGCTGCGGGCGAACCGGTGGCTAACGTGAGAGAGCTGGGAATCAGAGCTGCCTGCGCGCTATCAACTGCACGAGGATACTGGTACTGATGTCACGGCCGGCAGGAGACTGAGGCAGTCCACTCGTGGCGAAACTTGCCGGGTCACGAAGCGTTCCGCGCAAGTGTTAGCAGTGGCCTGCAGCATGCACAAGGCTCTACGTATTGGCAGTGGAACTCTGCTGTCACGGCTGTACTGACCGGCGTGTGTAAGTAGGCACAGCTGGCGTGCGTGGGAGCTGAGAGTGTGTGCCGTGCTCTGTGCCTAGCTGTTGGCGTGCGTGAGAGCTGAGAGTGTGTGCCATGTATGTGCAGACGCTGTTGTTGATGTAAAAAGCTGCCCCCGTTCCAGCTCGGCCGCCCGTCGCGAACAGAGCACCGCCGTGTCTTCCGCTTTGTGATCTAACACTGTGCGTCTCTCGCTCCGCATACGGCTCGGTGTATGACGTGCTGCGGCGCCAGAGCAGA